GACAATGACAGGAGCCAATGTGCACGCTATTTCAAAACAACCCAAATTTGGGTAGAATCCACCCAGATCGGTCAAAACTGAACCTACCCAAAAATGGGTAAACTGGGACAAATGAAAAACATCGACATGAATCCGATCGACGTTGTTCATTGCCGGAAAACTTTGAGATTAGGGCGTAATTTCTTTTGTAAACAAATATGTAAATCACCGATTTCTCGCACATTACAGCCCAATCTAAAAAAAAAACGGCACAAATAGGTAGATAAATGATTCCTCTATCATTTGGTATGGTTTGTTCGCGATACTGAGTTTCAATTAACGTGAAATCGACGATAGACGTGTTTGTTTACAAATACAATTACGCCCGAATCTCAAAGTTTTCCGGATTTGTCCACTTGTCACTCCCAACACAGTTTACCCATTTTTGGGTAGGTTCAGTTTTGACCGATCTGGGTGGATTCTACCCAATTGGGGAATTTTGAAATAGCGTGTGAGTTGTCATTTGCGAGAGTCAATCGAGCATGACTGTTACTTTATCGATCAATGTGGTGGAAATCCTATTGTAATCGTGACGATCATTAAATCGAACACAAATTAAATCATTTTGGGTGGTAATTCATCAATGTGATCCTGAATGCAATATTTTTGCGTTTTTCACGAGGAACATCTACAAGGCTAATGAATTAACGACAGACAATATATATTTTTTAAAGATGTTTTACGGATGGCTATTTGGTAAATGCTTTGCAAGTATGCATCAAAAAGTGCAAGTTGATCGATATTCATTGAAAATATTTCTTTCTAACTAACAATTTTAATTAGGCTCACACTGGACTAGCCTATTGACCCCAAGTACATCTATAATAGATAATAGTTGGCGCGACCTCTTAACGTTGACAAATTTAGCTGATTCTTTGCTCAAATTTTTGGCTCAGCTCTGGTACTCTCTTCGGTCCCAAGGTAATCGAATCACCCCTGGAAACATATGAAAATCCACTAACGCCTCATTTTATCTGTCAAACTTTTATAGCGAATTGTGTAGTAGTAGAATTTCGACTAGAATGGGGTACGTTAATCGTTTGCTTGGGACCAATAGTTCGTCGGTGCCAATAGGCTAGTCAAGTAGTGAGCCAATTTAAAATCGTTAGTTTCGTATTGATTGTTGGAACTAGGGGGTAGCCTATCAAAAATATCGATGTTTTTCCAGAATGATGCACCCTATTCTTCGCCCTTACTACTGGTGAATTGAACTGAATTCTCAGCGCTCAAGGAATAAACGGGGAAGATGTGCGTAATCGTATTTCTGCTTGGAAAATTGAAATGGTATGTTTTATCTCTAAACTTAAATACATTCCCATGCGAATAAATAAATAAAACAATTGTTCAACTTGTAAAACAAAAGAGTTTCATTTACAACATTAATTTACAGTTCCAACGATTTTGAAGAGATATATTTTGTTATGATCACAATTTTTAAACTGTAAAATAGGCTTTATTCTTTTATATATTTTTCATTCAGATTGCGCTTAAATTTCATTTAAACATTGAATGACAATTTATTTTGAAACTGTATGACGAGTCCGTATCTTTCTCAATGTTAACCATACGGTTTGTTCATTGCAAGTCTTCCTAAGAATGAATGATAATCATGCTGATTTAGAACTGATGGTTTACAGTGTGCAGAATGAAAATCATCCTGTTTTCTTTTGTGCTTTGAGAGCTGAATCAGAGAATGATAATCTTTCTCAAATAGAAAAATAATCCGTATGGGGCTCAAGTGAAGCAATAATCTTACATTCATGTGAGGACAATTCGGTTTAGTGCACTGTACCAAATCACCGTCCTCTGTTCGAATGAAACCTCTGACCATTCAAATCGAAACATCGAAATCGCCTTTTCGAATGATAACTGCACCCGGATTACTTTTTTTTATTAAATCAGAATCTGATGATTTTCCTCTCGAATATAGGATGAACATTGTTATGAAAAGGGATAGGGCCTTCAGTTGGAATAGGTAATGCTCTCCGCAGAATGATAGTCATCTTAAATTGAAATGTGTTCAGCCCCTTAACGCAAATCATTCAAAACAATGATGTAAATAACTCATCGAACGTCATTTGCTGCTCTGAGTAGATAAACGAGGTGGAAGCATAGTCATCGCTATCAGAGGTGGTACAAACATTGGTAAACCGTGGAGGAAGTTTCCTCTACCAGCACTAAAATTTTGTATCCATGATGAATGGTTGTTCGTGGCTATTCAATATGGAAATGTAAATAATCGAATTAATAATCTAATCTAAAGCATTTGCAAATCATCCTATCCTTAAATTCTAGACCAACAATTGGAATAGGCGGAACAACCAACCGTAAACAATCGCAGTCTAACACTAGCATCTGAAAGAGCAAACTTCCTTTATCGAATGACATTGTTAGTTTGCGTGGGTGTATGATTCTCGAGTTGCGTTCAAAGATTGCGTTTAAAGCCATTGTTTACGTTTGGTTGTTCTGCCTATTTGAATTGTTGGTCTAGAATTGATGTCCTCTGAGCCCTGTATGTTTTACAGCTAATTTTCAAATAAATATCATCCTTTATTTGGAGGACAGTCATATGGATGCTCATCAGTTGATGACGAATTCAACCATAAGGAAATCATCCAAAATTCGACAGCATATTGGTAAAGGGCTCGAGCAATACAATAATCAGTCGAAGTATTACGGATGTTTTCGTTCAGTGTGCAGGAACTCAGCGATGAGTAAATTTGCCTCATGTTTTCCAGGTTTTTCCCGAGGTTTTTCCAGCAAAAAATCCCGAATATGTGAAAAGTAAAGCTTGAATTTTCTCGTCAATTTCCCTATCTTTTGGGAGATTTTTGAGTTATTCCACATCGCTGAGTTCCTACACTAACTGAACTCAAATTTGGGTTGATCTCATGGAAAACTAGCTATGTCGTGAACTTTTCCCTTGGCGAACTGTTCCAACGCTGGAAGAAACCTAGGACAGATTATCCGCACCTAAGCGTTGGAAACTCTGAAAGAAATGCGTCTAGTTGGTAAGACTATGACTCATTAGAATCCTCAAGAATAACGTTGACGCTTCTTTCCTACCGACTGAACTAAATCGAAGACAACATATCAAGAATACAGGCAACTCTCCCGTTTTCTCATATACTATCGCTATAAGATAGGGACATCAGCCGCTCAAAGGTATATGCTCTGTACGAATTTAATAGCAATGATGTCAACCTCAGTAGAAAGGTTTATGTAATAGGGGAAATGACGGCTTCGGCATGCCAGACTATTTTCGGCAACCCAAATTGAAACACTATTTTCACTGGATTTTCTTACGAAAACACTTTGCTGAATGCATGCAAACGACTCTTTACGCTTTCAGCTTCAATTTTACTATATTTTTACCACTGAGAAAAGGTAATCTAGCAAGGTTTTCTTGAAATGCAACACACGCACTACAAATTGTAGCTGATTTCGAGTTGCCGATAATAGAACAGCAGATTTACATGCAGTTCAAATGGAACGGTTGCCGAAGAAAAACTGGTTGCCGACAATACTCGCTCTCACTAGAGAAGATTGGAGCTTTGTAAAAGCGTTTCAAAACAGTTTTTGACAATTCTTTCGACTGAAATTGTTAGAGCAGCTGGCAGCAAAAGATTGTAAACAAACAAATACTGCATATGTGTGCGTTCCTTAGAGAAAAAGGCTATAGAAAGAAGGTCGCTGCTTAGGTTGCCGAGAATACGTAAATTCCCCTATCTCATTTTTCTATGCACTGCTTCCACCTTCGCTTAAGCTGCTGTATCTGTCGGTTGGAATCTGGCTAAATGGCCAGTCTTCTTGATTTGATGTCTTCAACTAAAGGCAGAGCATTTCCAGGTCAAATAGCGAAAAGATAAACAAATTTTAAATTTTATCTCTCAGAATATGAACCAAGTTTGTGCTGGAATTCGGCCATTTTGACTCTCGCCTTATTTTTCAAAATGGGATATTCGATATTTTTCAATATAACGTAGCACGAAAACGGCTCATCTAATCGAAATGATGTTTTATAGCGAATTCGTTTATTATCGGGGTTGGAACCAGTTCCAACCCAGTGCGAAACCGAACTTTTTGTCAGTGCAAACCTCTACCTGAGCTAGGGTTTAAAAACAAATGAGCAAACTTACGTTTGTCAGAAAACAAGCAGACCCAATCTTGATACTTGATCCAGGTTGGAACTGAATAATAAACGAATTCGCTATTAGGAAAAATTGTAGGAAAGTAGATTATGTTTCCAGAAAAAAAAATGCACACTGGAAAAAAAAATCAAAATATTTCGTCACCAATGACAAAAAAAAAAAAAATGCTTAAAACTTCAATAATAAAATAAGTATTTTTTTTAAGTTTTCTGATATTGGACACTTTGGACACTTTCAAATTGATCAAAATCGTAGAACATAATCTTTTAGTAAAAATTTCGAATTTTTTTGTAAACAAATCCAACAAGTTTCATGAAATTCGGAGAGGTTAAAATAAAATCAATACCTCAATTGACGTGGAACTGCTCTGTATGCTGTTAAACGGAACTTTCTGCATTGAATTACAACAACATTCAACGACTTTAACGTAAGGGTTTTCGACGAGTACTCTGCAACGACGATTTGGTGGCTAATTTTTAACACCTGGCCGTTTTTGTTACTATTATTGATTGTGTGTAATACGCATTTAATAATTAAATTAATACCACCGACAGACATGATTGTACTTGGGCTGTGACACTCCTTTAAGCTAGTAGGCCTCGATTGTGTAAAGGAGTGTAACGGTAGTACATTCAAGTCCTTCGTAATTATAAAACTATGTTATTAACAAACCATTAACAAATTTTTGCATGCCCATTTACGACTTAGTGTACCGATTAGTAGTTGCTTATTAGTAACAATTATCAAACCAATGTATCAATTATTATGCACCTGAACACTAGTATTAAGGAAATATTAATGGATAGTAACCTGAGTCGTATGTGTTGATCGAGTCCTTGGATCCACTGACATCGGCTAGTTTTTTTTTTGGTTGGCGTAAGGCGATGTGAGCAAGCCACGACAGAAAACAGAAAGACATTTGTTCGGGAGGAAAATGAAGTCCGGATTAGTATAGGTACCTTCCATATGTATGTCATTATTGCCCAACCACGGTTAGTGGATGATGGTTTAGGTGAACAGTGAATAGACGGCGATACTTACAGTTAATCTCCTCCAAGCTACTTTGCGATTGGGAGACGGTGTTCGCTTTGAGCTGCCGTAGAATCGAGGATGGCGTTAGCAGGTGATCTGGTGGTGCCGGCTCCGGTGGAGTCGTCGGTGGTGGGTAGATCTGGAAGCCCTGGTTGCTTCCACCTTTGTCAAAGTCGCTACTATCTTCGTAGTAGTACATGTTGGAATACTGTTGTTGGTGTTGCTTTAGATTATCCAGATCGTCCAGTGAGTTAATGGAACGATTATCGAAGAGCATTTTTTGTTGTTGGTGGGGATGCTGGTGTTGGCTGCGGTAGGTCGTTTGGGAACCGTTGATGAGATAGCTTTCGTAACGCGGTGGAGGTTGCGGCGCTTGCTGGTGATGATGATGCATGGAATGTTCCATCGTGCCTTCACCCGAATCGATGGTCAGAGGTTCTTCCATGTTGAATGCGTGTTCGATTTCGGGTTTCTTGTCCCAGACCTCTTTCAGGAAGGGAGCGAACGATGCGAACTTGAATTGGTTATCCTCATCGGAAGCGGTTGCAAAGTGAGCTCGTAATTTATCAGCTATGGCATTGCCTTCGGTTATCAGCATTTGGGATGTTTCGTTGTTGAAAAATGCGTTGACTCCACCTTGCTCAGACACGGACACGAGTTGCATGGGAAGGTTTGGAATGTTTAACGAGAATGCGCTGAGCGTCGAGAGGGAAGCCTTACGTTTGCTGGAATACAGTAGAATGAAGCCATGAATGAGATCGTCTCTGAACGCATTCGCTCCGTGATACGAAGACAAGATTAGCTCAACCCGTCGCTTGGAATCTCCTAAGAACATTTCGAAAATGATGTTTCTCTCGCCAGCATTGATGCACGACTGTTCGATCATCATCGAGCTAAGCATGTTTTCCGTCGAGAAAGGATCCCCGCAGAAGATGCACATTATGATTCGCAAATCTGGGATATCCGCTAGATTCATTCCGTATTTTAGTTCATCGAAAGGAATCGAGTCAATGACACTGTTCAGTGTTGTCTCAACAAAACGGGCCTCCTGTCCCGAGGCAAAGAACTCGTTTTCATCGATGAACACGCAGTGTAACCGTTCCGCTAGGGATTGGCCATCGTTTTGCAGTTGTTGAAGTGTGCTCTCGCTGTTTTTCTCATCACTCATAAACACTATGTGCAAATTGTTTACGCTATCCTTAAAATCAATATTGTCCCCCAACAGGCGATCCAGTACTTCGTAGATGTAGGTGAATGTTTGCCTATTCGAGTAGCAACAGATCAGTCCTTTATTGGCCAGATCAAACGAGAAGGAATCGTTCTCCCTATTAATCGTTTCAATGCTCAGTCCGTAGACTTGCCCGTCCACTATGTACTCGCCATTGTCATTGCACTGTTGATGTACTTTATCGATGAAATCATTTGCAATGTAGTCCAATCCAATGACGATGAGATTCAGTTGCAGTTGGCCGTCCTTCTGGGCGAACCTGGGATTTGGTAGGCTGTAAAATAAGAACGTTAAATTATTCCGAATGGAAATCACGGTTTAATGAAGCACTCACGTTTGATTGGCAATCAATATCCTCTCAATTAGTGCATCCATGCAATTGGGGAAAGCAGGGCAGTGCTCTCGAATGGGGCAATGAACAAACCCAAGATGCTGAAACAGCATCAACTTCCTATCCTGTTCCAACCGGTCCAACAGCTTGTACCGTAAATCCTCCTGCAGTACATCGGTTATCTCCTTGACGTCGTTTTGCGTTATTGTCCCCGAAGGTTCAATGTTCTTGAAGTGATAGAATAGATCAGCATGCTCCATCAGCAGTTCCTGAAAGTTCCGCTTTGCCGTTTCAATCAACTCTCGCTGATGGTTGTCGTAGATCTGCTGGCAGTCATGCTCCGACAGAGCTTCGAAGCATTCGCGACCCATGAATAGGACTCGAACTTCCGAGAGCTGCTTGCCCGGTGTTACGTAGCCGGTTTCCTCCAGCAGCTTCTTGAACTGCTTCTTCCATCTGTACACAAGCATGAACGGAGAACGGACGGGAAGAAATATTGATATTAGCAATCGAGGCAGGTGCATTTGATGCATACTGAGAAACTCTCTTTTGTTTTGGAACTCAAAATCACCTTTTTGGCATCCTTTGGAGGTTGTTAGTTTTAGATATTTAGATATTTAGTTTTCACAACACAATGCAAGCCAAGACAGGGAGTAAATACAAGAGAAAGAGTTTAGTTAGATCTCTCGGAACGCAAAAAACGCACACGACTAAAAATGTAATGTTCTACTCTCTCTAGTTTCGACGATTCTACTATATAAACAGGCTCGTCGTACTCAAATGTGTTTTTTTTTTTGTTTTCTAAAGTAAAGTTCATTCATTTCAAGCCAATTGCACACCAAGCGAGCTATCTTTCAGAGACGGATATGTGAAGATTGTTGCAATAGGAATTTATACGTTTGTACCGGTGGTATTCCTACACGTTAAACCTATGGGTCAGGAATGAATTGGAATGTTGGTGGATTTTTAACCTCAAGATTTTTCTTTGAAGAGTTATGAGCTCTCATTCTAGGAAAACTACTTCTTCTTCCTGTCTTTTGACGCTTCTTACGTGAGCGTTTTGCCTGCTTTCAACTTCTTGAAACACGTCCACAGTTATTAACTGAGAGCTTTCTATGCCAACCAACCGATGTATGAATTTGTATGTGTACTGTGTGGTTAGCATCATGATATTCTATGCCCACGGAAGTTGAGCAAATTTCCAACCCGAAAGATTTTTTAGACCGAACCGGGTTTGGTAAAACCGAACCTGTATCTAAGATCACAATTTCGAATTAAATCGCTTTCCCCTTTACTTTGACAGGCAAGCGAACTGTGAGGTCTTCAGTTATATCGATCGATCAGATGCGTTCTTGCAGGTTGAAGTTGAACGAGGAGGATTGTTTCATATTCTTTGTTCCAGTAGACAGTAGACACTACAGTTGAACCGCATAAAACTACGAAGAGGATGATTTCAAATCAGATTATCGAATCGTTGGGATTCGTGGGCCCAGTGCAAAAGAGCAAAATTGATTATACGTGAATTTTGGGAATGTCAAACAATGAAAATAGTGATTTTACTTCTATTACGTATTGCTAAATTTACTAAAAACGTGACCACAATGTGACTTAAGTTTCGGAGTGTCGGAAATAAAATCATGAAAACTGATTTGGGGCGCGTCACTATAAGATTATCATCAAAAAAGGTTAAATCAGTGTCAACATTTCAAAGGGGCGTAATTGCTTTTGTAAACAATGGCTTTAGCCGACGATTTCTCGCAAATAAAAGCCCACCCCTCCAAATTACCAATGCTAGCTGGGATAGGAAACATTCCTCTACCTGCTAGTGTCATTCATTTTCATGAGTGAGCTTTCATTCGCGAGAAATCGAAGACGAAAGTCATTGTTTACAAATGCAATTACGCCTCTTTGAAATGTTGGCACTAAAATATCGATTTTCTATCTGTACACATGCGTGTATGTGTAATACACATACATGAAAAGGTTGTTCTGCAAGATTTTGCACCACTAGATAAACAACTAACAGTACTGTGTGACACAACTTTCTGTTAATCGTTCGAATGTTGTGGAAATGGACAAGGCACGACCACCGAGAACTGACGCGAAGTTCTACCACGCGAAACCGGGACTTTTCCGAATTTCCAAACCGAAAATGAATAAAACTTGTGGAACAAAAATGTCTGCTCTCAAATTCACTTTTATTAGAATAATAAGTAAGGCGTAGTAGCAATCATAAAATAAATGATATCGAGTAGACACTTAGACAGGCACAGTTCCTGTTCTTGAAATCACTCTCTCAGACTAATTGTATTGCAGAAAAATCAGTCAGGGATGAACTCAATTCCAAAACCATAAACATCTTCCCGGTAGGAAGGACCACCAGCTTATGGATTGGTCGCAGGTAGATAGTTTGAACTCTCTTCAGGCTTACGTTACGAACGATGCCGCTACGATCCGGATGAGTAGCAACCACCCGAGCAAGTTCCCAATACGCAGGTGGCGTGTTCTCGTTCAAGGACCCCAATCTGCAGGTTGTCCTGGATTTTCTGCCATTTCGTGCGGGGTTGAAGTGTTGAGACGTATTCAGTCCGAAAGCTTCGGTAATCTTTCGTAATTGGCGATATCTGTCGAGGCGATTCATTGGTACAGGCGATTCATTGGCTTTTTACTGCTCTAGCAGGATTTTCACTCGATGATATGTGATGCCACGAGGCAGGAAATCTAATATCGCCGACGTCCGATTTGTCACAAAAGTTTTCCATTTCTTGGGATGCGACGTGAGCCATCCAAGCACAACGGTAGAATCCGTCCACGCGTGAAATGTAACATCCAAGTGATCCAGTGATTCGAGAATCTGCTTCATGAGCTCCACAAGAAGAACGGCAGCGTTTAATTCAAGCCGAGGCAGCGACACTTGCTGAATAGGAGTAACCTTGGTTTTGCTCGCAACCAGCGAAATGCTGACATTGCTATCATCGTCTTTGGATCTGGCGTACACTGCTTCAGACGCGTCAGCAAATCCATGTAGCTGTACCGCTCCGTGGTGATTTACGATCCATCTTGGAATGCGAATGTCTTCGATTGATGCCAAACTTGCCTTGATGTTGTTACACTCCTTGTTGATAACAGCTGGAAGTGGGTCATCCCATTGTAAGTCATGCAACCACAGTGTTTGGTACAGTATCTTGACACGCACAACCCAAGTAACAACACAAGCTGAGCATTAAGAACAGAAGCTGATTATTGGTTGATTTAAGGTGTACAAAGCTGATTAACATCAGGCTGAATATATAGTTGATTAGTAGTGCATGAAGCGAATTGTATCCCCATAATCCAACCTCAATAGGTTAGCTGATCCAAAGATTGAACAAGTCTTATTTAAGCTTAACACAACTCCACAAATCAGCAATGCTTTACAAATATTTGATAGCTTGATTTGTTAAATGTTGTCAGTGTCTGTGTCACTCGTTGCATGTCCGGCATTTTATTTAGTTCTACTAAATTCACTGCCTTCCTTTCTAATTACAGGCAGTGGCAGCAGTAGAGTCAAGGAAAAGGAGATTTTTAGGAATAGCTGCAGGTAGACGTGGTCTGCGAGGACGTCGGAAGTGTTAACATTTGTACTTCTGTGTTTTGACTGTTCACCACTTTATATTGTACTGAATTTTCAAACCGCATTCCAAAAATATTACTCAATTATGGCACTAAAATAGCATCCAAATGACCATCAAAATAAATCACGTGCTTGTGTCCACATTGTGTTAAGTGCACTTGAAAATGAGAGGAATGTTTAACTGTCACCAGTTGTTGTGCGAATACTCTTCCGGGTGCTGTTATTCAACTTAAATTTGACGTGCTTCAAGTTAATGATCATACCTTTTACCACACATATGCCTAAATGGTCCAGTAGGTATGGTTGAAGCCTATGAATCAGCAACTGCCGGTTCGAATCCCGAAATGCAAAAGTAATTTATAAATGCATAAGATATGAAGCGGTCTTCCATTAATATTTTTGAAATAATACTAGAAGGCTAAACAAGGGTTGGAAAAAACTGTTATTTAATGCCTTAAAAAGCTTATAATGTATATTACGGTTAAGCTTTTGGCTGATTAAAAACACCAGATATAGATGTTTAAAAGCTGGACAAAGGTTAACGGGGTCTATGTACAGCAATTATTCAATCTAAGGCTAAATTGAAATCGATTAATCAACACTTGTTAAGCATCAAATTGTTACCTGGGAATTATCGGTGAGATCCAGCCCAAGGGATCGAAAAGCCGGGCTGAATCTGATAGAAGTTGCCGCTTGGTGTTTGGCTTGTCTATGTCGAAATTCAAACGGAATCCGAAAGAGTCTGTGGCTGGGTACCAATGAATACCCAGTGCTTTTACTGCATCCGCATCTGATTGTAAATTAACAGGGACTGAAGATTGAGCCTCGGGTTGAGCAGCGTTTGCATCCTCGTCCAGCAGCCGGGAATCATTTGCTGAACACTTCCGAAGATGGAAACCTGCTTTCGATGTAATTTGAACGATGCCTTTCTTGAACGTGAGTGCGTCTTCCAATGTTGCAGCGCCAGAGAGGAAATCACCAACATAAAAGTTTTTCAGCACTCGAACAGCTGCAACTGGAAACTGCGCACGGGAATGTCGCACATGAAGTCCCGTACGTAACTGTCAGCAACCGGTAATGTTCAATGGGCTTTTCGGCTTTCGCTCTCCATACAGTACGCAAGTAATCAACATCGTCTCAGTGTATCCATATCTGTCGATACATTTTTTCCGCATCCGCAATAAAGGCGAAAGTGTAGCTACGAAAACGGGTGAGGACGACAGGCAAGTCCTCGGTGACCTTCGGTCCAGTCAACAGTTTCTCGTTCAAAGAAATTCCGGATGCCGATTGACACGAGCCGTCAAACACGACTCACAATTTGGTTGTGACACTGTCTTGCCGCATGACACCGTGATGTGGAAGGTAGAAACTTTTCCCCGACGAAACGTTAACCTCGTCGTCTGGAATCCTCTCCATGTGACCAAGATTAAGGTACTCGGTCATGAACTCACCGTACATCTGTTTGAAGCCTGGATATCGAATGAATCTCCTTTCCATCGCCTTCAGCCGCTGGATTGCTGCTGGCAGAGATTCACCTAATGCGGGTTTGCTTTCGTCGAACGGTAAACGCACTGTAAATCTACCAGTTTCATCTCGTCGATGCGTAGTATTAAAGAAATTCACTGCTTGTCAGAGTTGCGACCTATCACAATCACGATCATCAAACAGCTGATGGTAGTAACGCTTTGTACATTTCTATCTATGTGCTCGTCGAAGCTCTCTCCATGACCATCCATCAAGTCGACGAATGAAGTAAAAATCAACTGGTGAATGTCGTCTTCGGCGATTTGGTCATTCCCTACAATCACGGCACTCATATGTGCTCGTTTTGAAGCAGTTGCTG